GACTCGATCCCAGGACGCTGGGATCGAGTCCCACATTGGGCTCCTTGCTCATCAGGGAGCCTGCTTCTTCCTCTGCCTCTGCCTGCCATTCTGTCTGCCTGTGCTCGCTCTCTCTCCCTCTCTCTCTCTGACAAATAAATAAATAAAATCTTTAAAAAAAAAAAAAAAGAGTAGGAGAAGAAATAATGGCTTTGAGTTTAGAATCCCCACCCCAACCCCCCCACCTCCTCAAATCACTGGCGGGGATCTCTCAACCTCAAAAAGCTCTTCATTCTATATGGCTTGTGGGCATGAAAGCTAGCTGCCATTTTCTGGCTATGCCTGTTTGAGCAGACGGCTTATTTCCCTGCTGTAACAGCTGTCTCTTCTATGCTTTTTATTCTAGTTCACATTACCCCAACTGTCCAAAGGCTGAATGGCCCAGACATGTGAGACAGAGAACACGCCAACCCCATGACCAGCATCTGGGGTTGGGGGAGGAAACAAAGCCTTCCCCTTTTTCCTCCTCATCCCACATCTTTATGCTCAGAATGGGGGTCAGGCAGAAAGAACTTGTTACCATTGCCTTCCTTGCCTACCCAAAGTCCAGTATGCCGCCTAAGCCAAGGAGAGAAGGGATGGGCCCGAGAAGGAAACACCTGGGACCGAGAGTGGGGGCCCCGGAGTGTACTCACATGATTGGAGCTATCCGGAATCTGCTTCTCAATTAGCTGCACGATCTGCTTGAACGTTGGCCTTTTCAGGGGATCAGCATCCCAGCAAGTCTTCATGATGTCATACCTGCGAAGCGAGGGCCATTTCCTATCACTCTTCAACGCCCTTGGTTTGGCTTCTCAGTGTACACCATGTGACCATCTCAAAAATCATTCCAGGGCCGTGCAACTGGGCACACTGAATGGCACGGGCATGAAATAAAACACTGGGCCTGTGGAAGACTGCTGAAGCTTTCTGCATATTTGGTGACAAGAGATTATGAAAATAAGCTACAAAAATGACACCTGCTCAGGATGTCATCAAAAGGAACCAGGAGATGTCGATACTTCAGACCGTCCTGGTGAAACACTGTTGCACCCCCTCCACCCCCAACACAAACACACACCCGGGTTTCTGTCTTTGAAAAGGAAAACAAAAGGGGAAGCAGGACCTGAAGGAAAACATCTCAACCCTTACATTTCAGCAGGTGCGTGCTCAGGGCTGAGCATTCGGAACCCTTCTTTGATCATCTTGTAGAACTTCGAATCGACTGGCATCCCAGGGTAGGGGCTGCTTCCTGAGACACAGTTTACAAATCGATAATAAGCAAGCAGGACGCTGATAACAATCTTAAAGAAGATGCTCAGAGTCTAACCAAGGTGCCTCTGGAAAGCACTTTACCTAAAGAGAACAGCTCCCATAGAAAAATCCCATAGGACCAGACATCACTCTCGAATGTGTACACACAGTTGAAAATGCTTTCCGGTGCCATCCACTTCACAGGCAGCCGAGCCTAGAACGCAAGCACAACACATTTGGTGATGTTAATTAATAAGTTCAAAAAAAAAAATTGAATAGAAAATATTCCTGAGCCGAAGGCAGACTGCTTAACCAACTGAGCCCCCCGCGTTAGCTCCACTACAGGTGTCCTGGATTCAGGGGCCTATGAACTTGGAAGGGAGAAAGAATGACATTCTTGTTTTCACTAACTTTTATATGAAGTTTAGCATTTCCTTCAGTTGTGAATGAAGGCAGTAACACCCATCGGTCTTAGCTGTTCCTGTGACTTTGTCACCAGCAGGAACCAACAGACACTTTCATCATCATCATGTGATGTCACCAGTCACAGCAGTTTTGAGACCCACACCTAGAACGGGTTGCTCCACATAACAACACAGCACAGGTACCAACATCAAAAATGGGCTTTTTAATTGCCTGAGAACTATATTCCACCTGAACTGTGTTTCTTGGTAATCCTAAAGATTTTATTTTACACATTTAAGACAATGTTCTTTTTTTTTTTTTTTAAGCCACCTAGGCGTCCCTAAAACAACATTCTTACAAGGGTTCCAACTGGCCTCACTGGACTATGGAAGGGGCCACGGCAGAAAAAAATGACTCAGAACCTATGTGGAGTGGAAGAACCTTCTGAGAAGCTGACACAGGGAGACGACACATGGCTAAGATATAGTAAATTTGGGGCAGTAACATGTCGTGTGAGCCTGGTGAAGAGAGATCTGTAACTGGTTAGCTCGACGGGCCTGAGCTGGAACCCCCAGTCTAGAAGCCTGGTGGGACCTAAGTCCCACCCTTGTGCATTCCAGCAAAGGTCCCCAACCACTAACAAGTTACTACGAAGCTGCAGCATAACCGCTGTCACAGTTATTTCTATTCCAAATCAGACATCTACAAAGAACAGAAGAAAAGAGCTGTTGGGGCGTGTGGGTGGCTCAGTGGGTTAAAGCCTCTGCCTTCGGCTCAGGTTATGATCTCAGGGTCCTGGGATCGAGCCCTGCATTGGGCTCTCTGCTCAGCAGGGAGCCTGCTTCCCTTCCTCTC